ACACAAATAAAATGACGATTCTACCTAAATTAATTTACTTATTCAGTGCCATACCAATCAAATTACCAAAAACATTTCACAGAGCTAGACAAATAATAACAAAATTCATCTACAAGAACAAAAGATCAAGAATATCAAGGGAATAAGTGAAAATATAATTCAAAGTCAGTCTAGTAGTAACAAATTTTAAACTGTATTACAAAGTGGTAATCATCAAAACAATCTAGTACTAGCTAAGAAATAAGAGTGGTGGATCAGTGAAATAGACTAGGCATTCAATACACAGTAGTAAACAATTGTACTAATCTAGTGTTTGACAAAACCAAAGATCCAAGATTTTGGGACTCTGTGACCCCATTTGGGTTTTTCTTGGCAAAGATACTTGCGTAGTTTGCCATTTCCTTCTCCAGCTTATTTTACAGATGAGAAAACTGAGGCAAGCAGGGTCGAGTGACTTGCCTGGGTCACACAGTAAATGTCTGAAGCCAGATCTGAACTCAGGTCTTTTAACTCCAGGTCCAGCACTCTAGTTTAGCCACCTAGCTGCCCTAAAGGCAACTGTCAGGAGTGGAGTTCAAATCCATGTCTCCACAGGGGAGGAAAAGTTGTAGTATATGATTTTGATGAAATACTATTTTGTTATAAGAAATGACTAGAAGACTCACATGAACTGATGCAAAGTGAAATGAGCAGAACTAGGAGAACATGGTACATAGTAATGGCAATACTGTACGATAATGAACTGTGAATGACTTAGCAATTCTCAATGATGCAAGACAATTCCAAAGGACTTATGATGAAAAATGTAAAACTGATAAAGAGTCTGAATGCAGATTGAAGTATACTTTTTTTTACTTTATTATTATCGGTTTTTTTGGTCTGTATTTTCTTTTGCAACATGGCTCATGTGGAAATGTTTTGCCTGTATAATCCATGTCAAATTGCTTGCCTTCTGAAGGAGGTGGGCAGGAAGGAAGGAAAAGAGGAGAATTTGGATCTCAAAATTTTAAAAAATGAAATGTTTATAAAAATTTTTTACATGTAATTGAGAAAAAAAAAGATGTACTTATGTGCATATGCATACCTACCTACACACACACACACACACACACACACACACACACACACACACACACACACTCTCTCTCTCTCTCTCTCTCTCTCTCTCTCTCTCTCTCTCTCTCTCTCTCTCTCTCTCTCTCTCTCTCTCTCCATCCTCATTTTAGACCAAGGGTACTAACCCTGGGGTCCAGGGACCCTGGATCCATAATCTTGGTGGGCAAAAAAACACTACATCTTTATTTTCTCTAACCTCTAACTGAAATTTTACATTTCTTTCCATTAAGAATGTAAGCAATGAGCCATTATTCTGAGGAGGGGTCCACAGGCCTCACCAGACTGCCAAAAGGATCCATGACAGAAAAAATGTGAAGAAGCCTTGAATTAAATCCCTGATTTAGATATGATCAAATGACATAGCATCTGCGAAGCACACGGGACCTGCAGGATGTCTGGCTTGCAGACACTTGGTCTTCTCATTTCCACTGCTCAAATGCACTGACTTTTAAAAGTTTCTTTTGCCTTTGGTGTGTCTGTCAGCAAAGACTGCTTGTATCTCTGTCCTTTCATCAGAAATTCTTAAGAGTACTTTATTTTATTACATGTCCATTCCCCCCTCTCCCAGTAGAATTAGACTGTTTTACAGTTTAATTTATTCTTGGTTGTCTCAATTTCTTTCCATTTACAATACTGTATTTTAGGATTTTCTATCTTTCATGGCAGTTGCAATGTTCTTATGTAGTTCTTTCTGGATTAGCTTGTAGTAATTTTCCTTTGACCTGAAAGGTCTGGATTTGGGTTCTCAGATTCTGGGACTTTTTCCTTTGGGGTTCCTTTTCAAGGGTTGACCAGTAGATTCTTTTTATTCATACTTTGCCTTCTGATTCTAAAAGATCTGAACAGTTTTCTTTTATGGCCTTGAAACAGGACATAGTTTTTCAGGAAGTCTAATGATGGCTTGTGGTATTCAGGAAGTGCAAGGAATCTTAAATTAATTCTCTTATACCCATTTACCTGATGTTACTTTTGAAAGTAGGTATCTTGCATTTTTTTTCTTTTAGTTTAATCTTTGAATTTGTCTTAATATTTCTTTTTCTCCTATAATCACTAAATTATCTTTGTTCCATTACATTTTTAATGAAGCTTACTACTTGTATGAGGTCTTCCAAATTCTGTCCTAAGCTACTTGTTGCCTTTAATTTTTTTCCTCTACCATCCTGTTATTTTTAATGCTTACAACTAACCAAATAACACTGTAAATAATTTTCCTTATGACAAAATCACATTTATTTTACATTAAAAAAACTAAAAATTAATAATTTCATTATATACAATTAAAGGAATGAAATATAGAACTCTGGTGATAGGTCCAAATATTTAACACTCAGAGTGGTAACCAGGATAGTGTGATGGGGGCTTTCCCTCAAGGCCCATGTGCAGGCACCTCTGACCAGCAGAGAAACAGCTAAGCTTAAAACTTCATTAACAACAATATTTTAAAGTAGTAAGTTCCAAGTTTTTCCTTTCTCCAGAGGCAGTATCTCAGATCAAACTTCTCCTGAGCCCAAAGGTAGGGTATCCCTCTCATCTACTTTCCAGCGTATTTAATTAATTTCCACCACCTCAGTTCTCTGTCTCTCCAGCCAATTACCTTTTATTTGTCTTGGTATCTCCCATCCTACCCTACATGCCTTAGGCACAAAGTTCCTAGTTATGGTTCTATCTTCATAACTAAATGAATTTAAGTATTTTCTTTACTTACAAAAGCTTCTAAGTTACAGCTCACTAAATGTAAACACAACGTATATAGCACTGCAACAGAAGTTAAAGTATGTTAGTACTTTTGGAGTGATCAAACACTCCAAATTGTTTTTCTCTGGGCAACTCTGTTGTTTCAGCTGAAAAAACTGTCACTAGGTTCACATCCTAGGTCTCCTATCTACCACCTTTGTGACTGATGTGGGAAAAGCAGTGTATTCTGAAGTCAAAGGACTAGGATTCATTCAGGAGGTCAGCTCCGAAGGTTACTACCTGTGAGATGGTGGGCAAGTTATTTTTGACCTCTGATGAAGGGGATGATGGTCGCTAACATGTGAATGACTTCTCTGGGTCTCATTTTCCTTATCTGTATTATGATCAATATAAATCTGGTGGATTTCTGAAGCCCTTAACATCTCCAGATCATATGATCCAATATATTCAATGTTGTTTCCCCTTCCCATCCCCCAATATACAGTCTAATATAGTAGAAACTTAAGGTAAAAAAAGAATCTCACATGTTCAGAAATACACAAATGTTGACAGATTTTAAAATGTGTTCTATTGCATATTTTAGCTTTACTAATAAAATGTCAGATACAGAAGGGAGTGATGCAGGTACCAAGTTTGGGGATGTGCTGGTATATCAATATGCTTTACATATGGAAGAGGATCTTTCACAATATTTTTCCCCTGACTACTAGAATCGCATTTAAGATACATTCAAATGCATAATCAAAATCAGGCTTTTCTCATATGATGTTTCTAATTTTAGCTCTTAAAAGATAAATATCTATATCCCCAAAGAAAGAACAAAAAGGATAAGGGCAGCTAAGTGGCACAGTGGATAGAGTCCCAGTCTTGGAGACAGGAGGACAGAAGTTCAAATCTGGCCTCAGACACTTGACACTTATTAGCTATGTGACCCTGGGAAAGTCACTTAACCCCGACTGCCTCACCACACAAACAAACCAAAAAACAAAACAAAACAACCCCCCCACAAGAATAAAAGGTCATATCTAGTGATTTTTGGTCCCCCCCCCCCATCATATGTTGTTTCTTCGGTTGCCATGGCTGGTCGTAAGGCAAGAAAAAGAAATGAAAAGTTCTCCACTGCTGTTCTCACAATGTCAAGAGAATGTGGGGAAGCCTTCTAGCATGTGGTATGGATCTCTTGAAGCAAATCAACGGCAGGATATAAATAAAAGTTGAAAAGTATGGGCAGGCATAGATGACTTGTTACCTGAATCACTGGAAGAAACTCTTGAATCAATGAAATCCTAGATTGATTTGAGTGTAAGAGGTATGCCATGCCAAGAAATTCTATTTAAAAGCTTTAAAAGAAGGTCCAGATTTGTTCATTACACCATACTGAGATTATGTCATACTGAGTATTTCACAAAATTAGTGGAAAGTCATCTGGTCAGGGAGAATTTTTTCTTCAAAATATTAACAATACTAGTACTTGCTATAACAAAATTTGATGGATATTCTATTTTTAAACTTTTCACAGCGCATGACCTACATGTTTTTAAGAAGTTTAAAAAAGTTATAAAATGGTTCATATCTTGATCTTAATTGTTTTAGAATGGAAAAAGAATTAAAATTTCCATTGAATAACTAAGTTTTTCATGTCAACCCAAGATAAATCTGAAAGAGACTTAAGAACCTCCAAAATGAAAATAATCTAATTCGTTCTTGCCTTCTAATTTACCCTTTCCCACAGTGGGATAAAATAGGAAAAATAAAAGTTTTGGAGTCAGAGGAGGTGGGTCCAAATACCTTACCACGTATGTTACCTGGTACAAGTCATTTCACCTCATCCATAAAATGAGGGCAGTGGGTTAAATGGCCCTTTCAGATGTAAGTCTAGAACCCTCGATCTCTGCTGGACTTTGCTGCCTTACTGCGTAAAGAGAGGAGGCTGGACCAGGTGAAAGAGATGGTCTCTGAGGTTCTTCCTAGCTCTGTATCTATGATCTTATGCTCTTTTAGGAGCTCCTTGGGTGGTAAAACCCGTGATCCTTATGACATACATAAGAAAGAAATATGGATTATTTCCCAATGGCTACATCAGCACAAATTATGATAGAAGGCAAGGTCCTGCTGATAATTTGTTCCCCCAGAGGAAACAAAAGACAAGACCAAATGACAAGACCTTCTAGACAACTGTAGTTACTTGCCTGAGTTGTAGCAACAGCAGTGGTCACGGATGATGTGGCTGAAGGAGAGAGACCTCCAACTTGTTGCAAATGACCCGAAGACTGTGGAGGTAAATGAGAACTGGAAACAGGAGTGCTGGATCCTGAGCCAGATACTGCATTCGGAAATGATACTGCTACATCATTGCTGCTAAAAATACCTAAAAGAAAAGAAATTGTCTTGTGTTAGTGAAATGCAAAATTAATCAGTAAGTTACATCAAAGTATCATACTTCACAAAACACAGGAAACAAAACCCATAGTAGTGGTTATGTTACACCTAACTTCTGAATATTGACTTTTCAAGATCCACAGCCTGACCCAGTTGTCTTTCAGCGATTAAAAACTGAATTTGGACAATTCATTAAAAAGCGTAACTTCCAAAGGAATGTGAAGTAGGAAAATACTTCTTTACAAAGTCTGGGGTGAGGGGAGGGGATAAAGAATGTGGGGGGTGGGGTGAGGGAAGGCAGACCTTTTCCTGGAGCTGATGATAAAGAAGGTAGGGAAGGAGTGACTATGGGCAAGAACTTGTGTCCTTCATCTAATCCCTTCCCTCTGGAAGCTTGTTTCTTCTATCATTCCCTCTGTCATCTTTACACTTTTATCTATTTCCTTCCTTGCTGCCCATAAACACATTCAAATTTACCCCATCCTTAAAAACAACAACAACAACAAAAAACCATAACTTTAAACTAACATCCCCTTAAGCTATGGTTCTATTTCTTTATCCTTTTAACAGCCAAATTTCTTCATCACTCACTGAAACTGTTCTGAGATGACTAAGAATTTAACTGTTAACAACAATGGTCTTTTCCCAATCCTCATGCTTTCTTACCTTTCTTGGAGATTGAGACAAGGCTGACCACTCCCTTTATATATCAAGGCTCCAAGGCACTGATATTCCCTTGTCTTCCTCCTGATTGTCCAGACCATTCTTCAATCTCCTTTGCTGGATTATCAATCTGTTTTTCTCCTACTAACAAATTATTCCCCAAGGCTTTGTCCTAGGGTCTCTTCTCTTTATGCTGTCTCCCTTAGTTATTTCATCTATATCCTCCCAACTGGAGATTCCCCAATTTCCCTATCTCTCTGTCTCCCTATCTCTGTCACATCCACACCCATACAAATAATCAACAAACATTTATTAAGCAACTACCATTGAACAGGTTGTGTAGTTCAGCTAAAACAATCTGAAATTAGATGATCAAGGTTTATATTTTACCTCTGATAAGTACTACCTATGTGACCTTGGGCAAGTCATGTTTACCCATCTAGGCTAACTCTCTTCATCTGAAAAATGAAGGTGTTAAGACAAAATGACCTTCTTCTGAGGTCCCTTCCAGCTTGGCTCCATGATCCTATGCACCAGGCACTCTGACAGAACTAGAGGTACAAATAAAAAAGGTGAGACAGTGTATGCCCATCCTCTCCAAGAGCTTCCACTATACTAGTTCTCTTGAACTGTGGTTCCACATTGTCAGCTACCTACTGGACATCTTGACCTGGCTACGCTATTTGCATCTTAAATTCAACATGTCCAACAAAGCTGATTATTTTCCCTCCCACCTAAAACAAGCTTTCACTTAAACTTCCATGATTTTTGTTGATGGGTTCCCCATCCCCTCTGGATGGGTTCCTTATCCTCTCTCTCTTATATTTCACAACTTCAAAGTTATCCCCAACGCTCCCTCAATCTCTATATCCAATCAGTTATTAGGTCTTATTAATTCCATTTCCACAACAAATCTTTTAACTATCCCCTTCTTTTCATTAATACAGCCCCTATTCTAGTTCAGATACTCATCTCACATGGATTAATTAAAATATCTTCCTACTTAGTCTCCCTACGTCCAGTCAATCTTCTCGCTGATCTATCCTCCACACAGTCAAAATGATCTTCTCAAGCCACAGGTCTGCCCCTGCTTAAATAACTTTGGTGACTACCTCTAGGATAAAACATAAACTTTTCACTGGAATTTAACACCATGTCACTCTCTCTCTTCAGCCTACATTTCCAGTTTTATTTCACATCCCGTGATCCATCTTTTTACCTTCAAACTGGCTGAGCCCCATGCCTGGAATAATTGCCCTCCAGACCTATGCCTTGGGATCTTTGCTTCCTTTAAATTTCAGGTTACCGATCTATTCCCATGAAAAGCCTCCCCAGAACTCAGCCAGATTTGATTCCCATCTTTCCCATCAAATTATATATTTAATTCTATATGGATATGTTTAAGTTTCTCAAAGGTAAGGACTACTTTTGGTTTTTGTATAGGTGGCCCCAGTGCCTTTGAAACAGCAGACACATGGCAAATGTATGTTGTATTTAAGTATCACATTTAAGAAATCTAGGATAATATTGTATAAATTGCTTATAACCCAAAAAAGGAGCACTGTAGTCTCAAACAACAAAACTCTATTGAAGAACATATATAGTTGGACGACAACACAATGGAATTTTACTAAATACTGCCAAATTTCTTCCTGATACGGCTTTTACCATGTTACCCTCTTGCTTAAATATCTCTATATAATAGCTCTTGAATCAAGCCCAAAGTCTCAAAAACCTTTATATCCACTAGCAGTCAATATATTTGTCCTCTGGGAAATGTCATATTGACTTTTCTACCAAAGCTTCATCACATATGAAAAATATAGCTCTTTGGCAATTACACGTGATGTCTAAATACCATTTTCTCTCAATTATCCATACTAATGGACAAAATGTCACAAATATTAATGATCTGAAATTCCAAAAGGGAAGATGGCTCAAGAGGGATGGGAGCTTATCAAAAGTGAAATTCTGACAATACAATCACAAATAATGCCAATGAAGCAAAGGGAGAATAGTCTGTCTAAAGGGAAACATGTCACTGCAAAGAAAGTTCTTTGAGAAGCTCAAAGCTGTAACAGTATCAGAAAGTCTATAAGGCCCACAATAAACTAAAGAATGCCCAAAATAAAGACCATGAAAAGGGAATTTTCAAAAAGAGAAACAAAACAGAGGAAGCAATGGTTGTAGCAGATGGGGCAACTGATGGTCAGCAAATATAGGGGCTAGGGGGAGAAGACTAACAGTACACTCCCAAATACGCAGGTTTATTCCCAACAAAGGAATTAAGATTATCATGAAATGATTTGCATCTATTACACAGGCAGAAAAGACTAGTCTTAATTTGCTTGTTTTCTCTATCAAGGAGAAAAATCTTGACTGACAAGAAATGAAGAAAAATAATTAAGAGAGCACTGAAATCCAAACTAAATGAAGAGACAGAAAAATTATATAGCTAGACTAAATGACTTCAAATCACAAGATGGTTGAATGAATGAATGAATGAAAGAATGAATTACATTTCAGTGGCTAAATTTTAGACATAGTTGTTCAACTGCTTCCTTCAGGTCCTAGATGAAATCTCACCTTCTACAAGAGCCTTTCCCCAATTCCCTTTAATGCTTGTGCCTTCCCTCTGCCGATCATCTCCCATTTATCCCTTATGTAACTGGTCTGCATACATAGTTGCTTGAATGTTGTCACCTCTGTTAGACTGTGAGCTTCTTGAGGGCAGGGACTCTTTTCACCTTTCTTTGCATCCCCAGCACTTAGCACAGTGTCTGACACGTAGTAGGCACTTAATAAATGTTTACTGACTGAATGAACATTAGTGTCCCAAGACTGGAAATGTGCAAACATTTTCCTAACATTCAAAATGGAAAAAAAGATAGATCCTGGTTCCTACATACTATACCACATACTACATACAGATGAAAAATGGAATGAAATGCTTCATGAGATAATTTACCATCATTGGACACGTTCAAGCAGAGGCCAGATGACCACTTGTTGGAGATTTTGAAAGGAGACTTACATGAAGGACTGTTGTAATGTTCCTTTCAACTCTTTCACTCAATCTTTATGATGCCAACCAACCAGATACACATCATTAAACACATCTGACGTAACAGTTGTCTTCAAATACCTGAAGATTTACCATGTGAGGACTAGAGAATATATTCATTCTGAATGTGGCTCTTGATGGCATAAGCAGGAGCAACAGAGGCATATTTCTGCATTATATAAGAAAGCTAAATGAACTACCTTGTGAAGTAATAAATTCCCCATCACTGGAAGTAAATCTACTGGGATCATATGTCTATTTAGAGATGGGATATTCCATAGGGGATTTGTACAAGTGGTTGGATTAAATAATCCCTCTAAAGTCCCTGCCAACTCTCACATTCCATGAAAGATGATGGGGAAGATTATCAACAGATATAAAGAGAAAGATATGCATTCCAAACTGGTGGAATAGCATGGAGAAGGCACAAAGCATAAACTCTAGGAACTAGTAGTAGTCTGCTTTGGCTGAAGGATGACTGAGATAGTGTTGTGAAATAAGAATACGGAATAAACCTGAATCAGATTGTAGAGGGCTTTAAATGGCAAGTTAAAGAAAAATTACCTTTTGTTAAGTAAGCAAGAGGGATGTTCTGAATGTGACATGCTCAAATTCCTTTGGAAAAAATACGAAGGCTAGGTTTAAGGGAAGCGGGAATCAGCTAAGGCTGTTACATGGTTCAGGAGAGAAGAAACGAGAGACAATGTTCCAAATATCCCTGGGATCTAGGTACAACCAGCATAAAAGTTAAAAGTAAGTTTCTTTCATTTACTTAAGCTTTCAGAGTTTCAAAGTTCAGACTTTATTTTCTTATGCTTGAGAATAAAATGGGAAAATTCTTAATCATAAACTGAAGGCACTAGTGAAGTATTTTTCAGTATAAATTTGATCTAAAATGGGCTTTTAAAAAATAATCCCTAAGCTTTGGACTTTTGGAGGAAGGGGTAGGGTTGGGCTACATACATGCATGAACAAAGCTGACGTGCATTAATTAGAAAATATCCATCTGCCCTTTTTTCAAGTGCAGAGTAATTTCATACATCATATGCTATCTCTCAACTGATCCTAAAGTACTTTCAAAGACATATGCCCTAAAGGAACAGGAATATATTACTGAGTCACAAGAAATGATCAAGAATTCTTCAGAAGGCATAAGAGAGAAGGGTGATAGATGGGTGAAGGAGGCAGGCATAAAACTAGGGCCTCAGGAATCCAGGAGGCTAACCAAGAAGCAGTACAGAAATGGCATAAAGCACTCACTA